TTCGCATATGCAATAAAAATAAATTAACTGATTTTAAAATTTTGTCTTCATATAAATTATATATTCAGTTAAAATTCGTCTCATTTTAAATTTTATACTCCACCATCGCTTCCAATATAACACAAAATACTGAAGATTTGTAACAAAATAAATTGCAAAATTTAAAAATTTTGCATTTCCTACTAATTGCTAAAAATAGGATTATCTTTACATGCATGTTTATATATACGAGCAAATTTTAGTTTGTTTCTATCAATTCCGCAATAATTTATTAAAAATGCTGTAACATCGTCATTTAAATGTAAATCATTAAAAATGTGGAAATGAAATTAATTTTCAATAGTTCAATGGTTAGCTGATTTCTTAGATATATGATATACAATATTTTTATTTATTTTTTCAATTTTGCAAGCATTTCCCTGATCTACAGCACAAATTTTTTTACTGTGTAGCCGACAGGTTTCATGCTTTCCATCGTTCCTTTCACAATTTTTAAAAAGTTAGGAAGTAAGCAATGCTGTTTATATGTTTATATGAGACACAATTTTTAAAATAAAAGTGAAAAGCAACAATCAAATTATAATAAATATAACTAACATTTACAGTGACTTAAACTGGTATGTCTAATATGTAAAACATAAAAGTATCGGCATATTAACATAAATAAAAAAATATTGTGATTGGTTAGAGTAATGTATAGCATATTGTCACATTAAAATGTATTATAAAATATTGTTTTAATTTTAGTTTCTTAAAATAACTTTATAAACACATATAAAATAAATGATATTTCTTAAAATTCGTTTGTACATAAAAGAGTAAACTATTTAATTCTTAATTACAGCAAACATGCGTATGGAAGATGTGGATAAACTGACTGACCATGAGTTAAGAAAGCAGCTAACTCATTATGGATTACCTAATATGCCAATTACGGAAACAACTCGTAGATTATTACTGGAGAAACTCAAAAGAAAAATATACCAAGAAAAACAGGAAATGAAATTAAGAAAGCGCAACACACGTACAAGCTCACCGGTAAAACAATCAGGATATTCTTTGGGTGGTCCACTGGATTATGCCAGCAATGCACAAAATAATTTAAAAATACAACCCGAACTTGAAAATATTCCTGCCTTCAATTATATACCAACTTCATCTAATTTCACCACCAATAACCTATCAGAAAGATATTCAATGCCAGTAATGGACTCAATTGATGATAATTTCTATCAACAATTATTGCGTGCCGAAAAATATAACGTTCATGATCCAAACATGGCAATGAATTCATTTAAGACACAACCTATGTATACAAATAATACATACGTCAACCAAAATTATACACCACATCCTCCAGCAGACTTGTACTATCAGAATAATTACTCACCGAAAACATCGTTAGATACAAATGCAGTTTGTGCCGGCGGCGATCCAAACTCAAATAATACACATTTTGGAATAGTAAATAAGCTTCTAAGTCTACGCAGTAAGTCGCTACCTAAACAGAATAGTTATAACATGAATGAAACTGACATGGCAACCGATAGACGTTTGAGAAGCAGTAATGCAGACAAGAAAATAACAACTAAAAGACTGATACAGCATTTAATAAATCGAGTACTTTATAAGCCCGAATTAAGGCAATCTTTTGTGCCACACGTTCTAATTATATTATTTTTTATATTTTTTATTTCACTGGCCGCTATTTACATGATGATTAGACCAAATATACCGGCCACACATCAAATTGAAAATACTAATGTAAAGATCTGTGAACTTGACATGGTTGCCGAAAAGGGTATGTTGTCGACGTGTGTGGAAAATGAAAGACTTGAAGAAGTTAAAACTTATATTAGGGAACTTTTGACATTACTGCAAAAACGTGCTGTTCACTATCATTGTATTGATTCTAGTATATCCGCAGCAGTAAGTAAGGAAGAATTTATAAAATATGTGCTGGATAATCTAACTTCCACAAATATGAATAATGTAGATTTTAATATACATGCTATGCAACATTTGATTAGGGCAAACTCTCAGTTGAATGTCAAAATTATGTCCAATGAAACAAATTCCGTGGACACAAACTCAAATGCAGTTGAACGTAATGTAATAACACAGTTTTTACTTGCAGTACCGCAACTTCCATTTAAATGCATTTTATTTAATAAATTGCATACATTTTTTATCATCATTGGTACTGGGGCTGTTATTGGCGCAATTGTGTTACTTGCGTATAATATATATCTCCGTATTAAAAGAAGCAGTGATGAACGTAATCTACTAGTCAAACAATATTCGGAAGAGATTGTTAATGAGCTACTGTATCAAACCTCTTTAAAAAATGAAACTGGAACAGGCGAACTTATCTTAAACCATTTGAGAGATAAACTTATACCTATTAATAAGCGAAAAGCTTCTTTGTGGTCTTGGGATGAAGCAATACGTTTATTGGAAGCAAATGATAGTAGAATACAGTTTTGTATCTCTTTGCACAATGGTGAAGAGTTTCGAACATTGAAATGGATTGGACAATTGAATCAAAATGAAATTAAAATAAATGCAAAGAAACAATGGCAGAGTCCGGCATTTGATAATGTAAACAAGGTTCATAATCCGCCCACACCTTGTTTGAAAATTCGACATATGTTTGATAATTCAGATATACAAAATCCAAATTTGAAACAGATTATTAAAGATGCTATTTTAGAAAAGGTTGGATCCAGATGTTCGATGAAAGATTTACAAATCGATAAAAATACCTGCTGTGTATACATACGATGTCCCAAAGAGGAAGACGCTGGTATTATACATAATGAAATCAATGGTTGGTGGTTTGACAATCGTTTAGTTTCCATTAAATTTTTACGATTACAACGTTATTTAAGTCGTTATCCAAACGCTATAGAAACCTAAATATTAAGTTAATTTAAGTTATACAGTTATACATAATCGCACAATTAAATATTGCTTTAAAAAGGTTGGATATTATATTTTTCGTTTGTTTAAATAAATTACATATTTTTAAAATAACGTATAATGTTTTGGTAATTGCTAATGCACAAAATAAGAACAGATAAGAGATAAAAGATGTAGGAGCATTGCATAGCAATGAATTTATGACTATTAACTATGATAGTAACTCTTGATAAATGATGGTAATTTCATTGGATGCGTCCAAATAATATCATGTTTAAAAAGAAATTTTATACAAAATGTGTAAGGTAATATTTGTAATAGGTGTTTATATATTTTTGTATATATGCATTATATACATGCATTTTTCTTATGGTATTTATAGAAAATCAGTTATAAAAAAAAGTATAGACAAAACTTGTATGTTCAAATTTGCAAATACTGCTTTTGATGAAGCTTCCAAAATTGTGATAGACTGGACACACAAGTTGATACAAAAAAAGTTGGATATACATAGATAAGTATGTCGGAATAGGAAAAATTGATCGAGTATATACTATGTTAACTCTCATTAGCATAATTTTGTATATATTTTTAATAAAAATGGTACATGTCACTTCACATTCGTAAAGATAATCACGATTGTGTATTCTTGATATATATATAATATTCGACAAAAATGTGTGAGACAGTTTCCAGTACTCCAACTATTACTCCGACTAGTTACATGGCCATCGTGATCGTTTATAAACTACATTGCAATGTTATAGAACACTGTTAAAATCTACAATTAAAATTGCACTATACTTTTCGTGAAAACCTAAACTAATCCAGTTGAATGGGCATGTAGTGACAATAATGCGCTTACAACGGCCACCAGGCATATGGAAAATAGTAAAATTCATATTAAAAATTTAATACTATAAATTTAAATGCGATGTTATTAAACCAATCTCGCGCATATTAACTGAAGCATTTTTATTTTGACCAATAATGTTAGCAAATACCTTAGAGTTTTATGCCCAAATATTACCAACAAAATCTGCAATTAAAAATTACTTAATATTGAAAACCCTTTCAATAATCAGCTACTGTATCAAAAAATTCCTATTTCAATGGAAGAAACTAGACATCAACTTTTTGTGATCGACATAACTTTAACAGAAGCTCGCATACATTTCACTTATATGATGTATTTAATCCGTCATTGACCTCATGCTTTGAAATGAGTTATACATTGAAAAAATTAATTATGAACTATATCTTGTAGCAGCTCGTTCTTCCCGATGATCCTGCGTTATTCACCATTTTCAACAGGGATTGTAGTAGGTCATCTTAAAGAATTACAATAACAATAATAATGTACGAACAACGTTTGATTGCAATGACTGCAAATTTAATATTTTATCATTTCAAAACTAAAATAAAAAAAATTAATTAAATTTACAATAGGTAACTAGAATACTGCATTTAAACTTTATTATGTAAATATAAAAGTTTATATATTCATTTGTATTATAAATTATTTATTCGAATTATTTTCTGGGTACAGACTGGGATCAATACTTGAAAACCGATTTATGTTCAAAGAAGTGAGCAGTTTCATTTGTCCTTGAAATAATACATCAGCAATGAGTTTTTCAGCATAAATTGCCTGTGTGGCATCCATCGTTCTAAGTTTATGTGCAATTATCTTACCAAAATTCGTAAAATGATCATCCATGTGGTTTTGTATATTCTTACACGTTAAACTGAATAATTTCTCAAAATCCATAGAGGTACAATCAAATTTTTGAGATTTTGAATTTGCAATTTCACTTTCATTTGATATATGTGATGAATTGGATGATGATCTTTTTCGGCAACTTTTCCGTTTATGGCGTTCTGGTGATTCTTTACCGAATCCAAACGTCTCTATAGAATCATTTACTGCATTATTATTGTGTGTAGTTTCGGTTGTAGTTCCTGTTTTTTCTTCACTAGATTCATTTTCTTTTTTAAATATTTCTCTTTTAATGCGCGATTCTTGCCTTGTTTCGTGTATTTTAAGAACTTTATCAACCTCGGGTGGGTTATCGACAGGTGAACATATAACTTTTTCTTTAGTCGGTGTTTTCGGGATATCAATAAATTCACCAGGCGTTATATTTTCAACGCTCAAAATTGTAGCTGTTTTATTACTTTTCTCTATACTTTCCTTAGCATTCTTGTTCTTTTTGTCCAAGCTCTCCTCATCTTTTAAAAACATTAACGATTCGAAATATTTACGTTTTGGACAATAAGGTTCATCATTTTCACCCTTATTTTTAATTTCGTCGTATTTTTTTAACTGGTGGCGAAACGCACATCTTAAATTGTTTATTTTTTGCTTCGTTCTCTCAACATTGTAGTGTTCACCATGTTTTCCAGCAACTGCAATTAATTTCATATAAGCCTCCTGTCTTTTACTTCTATTCTTAAAATGAATAGAATCTGCTTTCCACAAACACGGATTATTTTTATATTCCTGTATGAAATCATCAATAAAATCCATATTTATTTATATATGCTCACAACGGCAACTGCAATAAATTGACTCCAATCTACAAACATTAGTAGTTACACAATATCGATAATTGACACTTCGAGACTTTTGCATGTTATCGATTAAATATAAAGAGATGTGCTACTTCAATACAATTTTTTCTATGGGGGTTACAAAAAAATTAATAATTTCTTTTATTATTAGTATTTGAAATCAGTATATTATTTTCATAACAAAAAGGAAATTTTATATTTTTTAATATAAATAATTATTTCAATTTATATTAAGAGGAAATTTATAAAAAAGCAAAGGTTTTTACTAATGTACAATAGGTCTGTTCCACAAGCTACTCGTTGTAACTTTGAATTGCAATGTGTGTACACAAGTGAGTTCAACCAGCAAATTTTCGAATAAATGAGAGCGCTTGAGGGAGTGTAATAATTCAGTCGAAATTTGAAAATGGTACATAGACTTTACTCGTACATTTTATTTTAAGTAAAATTTGTGTTGATGTTTGAATCAGCTGTATTGGTTTGAATTTAAATTTTTGTATTTGTTCTCATCAGACTTCACACAAAGCTGTTCCATTAAAATCTGTGTAAAGAGCGTAATTTGACACTTTATTTGTGTTATATGGCGTTTACATTGGCCGAAAATGGCTCGTTTTGAATGAGCCATTTGAAAGTGTTTACATTCGTTGTATTTCATTTGTTCTCATTTCAACAGCTGATTTTTCAACTTGCATGTTGATTTGATTTTTGGCCTGTGCCAAAAAAATTTTGCATAAAGGTTAAATATGCCTTCAAACCTTACATTAGAAACTTAAAACATATTTTTAACTTCGATTAATTACTTTTTGGGAAGTAAAAGTTCTAAAAAGCAGTGCATCGTTTTCAAGAAAATGCAACCACCAAACATTTGTTTACCTTTTTTTGTAAATATGTTAAAAACAGCTTTTTCAAAACTGTCAAAATGCCATGAGAGCTTTCATTTAGGGTATGTTCAATGGATTCCTTTGCATTTGGAACATATGTGGAATGCATTCGAACGGCTTTCATACAGAATGTGAGAAAATTGCTCATTTTCGTGCTTGCAATTTTATATGCAAGAATGAGCCATTCGTTACTCATTTTCGATTTTTGACCAAAATGAGCCATTTTCGGCCAATGTAAACGCCATATTACGCTCTCAGTTTGTAGTTCAATTGTGTTTTATTCGAGTTTTACTACGAGTAAATCGTGGAACACGCCTAATATATAAGTTATATTATCAATAAAACTTGAAAATTGAATTTTATCGGAGAGAATAAAGTGATCAGCTTTTAAAACAATTATTTATAGCCGTTATTTTTTTTTTCCAGAAATGTAAAAAAACAGCATTTAGTCTGGTTGAAACATACCAGACTAAATGATAAATGCTTTTATTTTTTGACATATATTTTTGTTATGTTGTGTATAATTTAAAATATAGAAATTGTGAAGACTAAAAATTAATTCATTTAAATCAAAGAAAACAAAATGAATAATAGAAGCATAATGGTAAGTATTTTTTATCTTATTATTTTGATATATTGTAATTTATTATTGCAATATATATCCAGTGAGCATTCACAATTGACTGATTTATAAATTTGGCTGCACTGAAACTAAAGATTTTAAATAGTTTGCGAGTAAAACCTAACTCTGAAGATTTTAAGCGCATTGTTGCTGCTTCGCATGTTTTCTTATGTAAATTGCGAGAATTTTTTTGCTACTCTGAAAGAAAACATTACGTCTTATGCTAGTTTTAGAGAAAGAAATATTTTTCCTTTTTCTACATATATGTATTATAATTGATAAGTCTAGTAATTTATATAGATGTTAATATCTACTTTCGGTGGAAGGCTATAGGTACTTTAATTAGTAAAATATTAATAAAAAGGTATTATTATTAAGTCTGAATTTTAAAGCCTGCGTCTGTATTATTACAGATGTGATGTAATCAGCTTAGCTGATATGTTGTTAAAATAGTAAAAAAAAGGAAACTTTGTAAAAACATATTTTACAGTATATAATATATTTTTTTAAATAATTATATTCTATATATGTATGTATACAGTAACGTACCAAATTTATAGCGCCAATTTATTTTAGAATTTTTGTAGTATTAAGTAATAAACCGTTGGGTTGTTTATTGGAATTGTCTCCATATGCTTTCTCTCCAAGTCGAACCAATGGCAAGATTAAAAGATTAAGTACTTTAAGATCATTAATAAAGAAACTTATAACGAATGCAATTGCAAGCAAATTTAGTAAAAGGTTTACAATTTTCAGTAAAGTTATTTATTAACATACATTTATACATTAATGAACTTAAAACATGAGAAAACGCTTACATATGTTAATGATACATTGTGATATAGTGTGGATATAAATTTCAGACGAGGGACTAAGTTTTATCATAAATAAAACTGATAAATTAAAATAGCTAATAATATTTTTAAGGAAACTAAAAGTAGTTTAAATTAATTCGTATGGAAGTTTTTCTACAGATAATATTTTTATTTCACATTATTTTTATAGAAGTTATTTATTTTAATTTAATTTAATTTTATTTAAATAAATTAATTTATTTAATTTGTCTATATTTCAATACCGATATCTTTACTGTAGTTATAATGTATATAAATATAATTTTTAATTTAATTTTAATTATTAGGATTTTTAAGAGTGTCTACATAAAAGAACACTTTGTAGATACTCTTAATTTTACTCTTTATTATTTTTAGTTTAATGCTACTTCAAATAAATATCCTGGTTAGATCATTACAATTAAGAGAAGCATGTTTTCCTATATTTAAGTATATTTTACATAAAAAACAATTTTTTGTATATATAAAATAACCATCCAATTTATACTAAAAATTTAATATTTTATAGATTACTCTAAGCATAGATTTTAAAATTATACATTTATATTTTCTACACAGTTTTTTTTGGTTATAAAATTATATAAACGAATGAATAATCTATAATAGAATAATATGTTTTTTCATAAAAATGTTTATTATTAAATAATTTTTTAATCCATATACTATTTTGCTAACTGATATACACCACCTGAATAAAGCAGTTTGTGTTCTCGAACCTTTCGCTGCAGAAAATTACGTAGATCATCTTGTGTGAATTCTATACCCACACCGTTTGATGCAAATAGTTTAAGCATTTGATGGATCCGTTCTATTGGTAACGAGTCCAAATTAGTTAACATACCAACAATATAAGACCAGAAAACCTGATGATTTAATATTGATGAAAAAAAATTGTCAAAAAAGATAAAAATTTAAGTAAGTTATTATAATAGACCTGTAGTTCTTCCTCACGTTGGTCGCTAGCTGAAGCCATTGCTGATTCCATATCATCATCTTCCATTATATAAGGTGCTGTATCCATACTTTTTGAATTTGTAGTTTGTGCTGAATCATCAATTAATTGATAGGTGCCAACACTTACTTCTTTAATTAGACCATGGGTTTGCCAAAATCTCATACGACGGCGTAGAACAGTTGGAGGAACTTTAATAACAGAGCTAAGCTCGTCTAAGGTCCATATATCTAAAAAAAAAATTTATAAATATAGTTTAAATATCAATTAAACAATATAGTTAAATATTACAACAAATTTGTTTTAAGCGCATATATACAAGAATGTTTTAATGATTATAAAAACCGGTTAAAAAAGTTATACCATTGCTCATCCAACAAAAAAAAAAGTGTAAAAAAATGTAAAATATAGGTTAGGTCGATCTCACTAGCTGTAAGCCAAGCATAGACCCATTGGTCTCTAGAGATACCAGTTCAAGTGATATAGATTGGTAAATTTATAGTAGGCATATTATGTCTGATGTCGTCGCTTTTTGCGAATATAAAAAGTACTACAAATTCTATTCGTATATCGTCCTTTAATATATAAAGTTGTTTAACCTCCAAGCGTTTTAAGCGTGTTCGTAATGAGAAAAAAAAGAAAAATAAATACTTACTCCGATCTTGAAAATGGTATATTATTACAGCTTGAGTTGGAGAAACAGTCATTTCAACAGTTTTTCCACTGATTTCTATTTCAATTTGCACTCTTCCTGTAACCGTTCTCCAGTTTAAAGTTCTATTTCCTTTATAAGCCTCGTAAGATTTTGTAAATTTTATAAACTCATTTTCTATTTCTTCAGGTAATTCCAAACTTTCTTTATTAAAGCATGGCCAAAATTGTGCAGAAATGATTAAAGTTGCAATATCAAAAGACTTATCTGAAATTCAAGAAAAATGAAATAGTACTTGGCTGAGTTAGAGAATTAATTGCTACATTCTTACTATCAATATAGTCCTTATCACTTTGTATATGACTATTTATACGTTTGGAGTCCGAAACATCTCGTAACATAACCTCACAACTGTGCAAAAGATTTTCTCCAAATCGTATTTTTAATAATTCTAAATTACGAATTTCTTTGTCTGCCACAAAATTGAGCTGCGTTAGTAGGCGATCAGCCATTAAGTTACGATACTCATTCATAAACAATTCCTTACTGCCGTAGATATCCACAATCATGGATATAATGTCTGCAGAACGATTTATATTAGTCGACTGTAAACTAGTTGTTTGGTCAACACTGACAGGATCTGGTGCCCAACTTTCCCAATTACTAGCTTCATCTGCAGCATCCAAACCAGGTTTATTTTTAAGAGTTTCACTTTTTGTGAGCTCTTCAGATAAGTCACTGGGACCTTCTTCTGTTAGACCAGTTACAACACGACGTACTGTATCGTTACGTTTTCGCAAATATTCTTTAATAGGTGCTGTGACAGTTTCCAATATAACGCCACTGCTATCAAGATATCTTATAGCTTTTATAGCAGCAACATAGCCGGTTATAATATCAATTGTATTTACTCCTGGATGCAGTATTCTTGCTTCTAATGATGTTTTAATCGTTTTAATAAAATATTTTCTTAGATCTATTTTTTCCATACAGATTTTTAAATCATCTAAAATTGGTATAGATTCCGGAAAATCTGTTGAAGAGGACATTTCATTATTTTTTTATATTTTCATTCAATGAAATAAATTACCAATTATAATATTAAAAAACTGTTCAATTACACTATGCGCGAACGTCTCATACAAAAAGTAGGTGAGTTTAACTCGGAAGCATTGAACAAAGTTTTCAGATTTTTCATTTTCATCAATATGCAGACTATTCTTATTAAAAGTTTTTGCCAGCCAACTTAAAACAACTTCATCAAGCCACTACAAAAAAAAAAGAAGAAATAAAATTAAATTTGGATTGTATAAAGGTTGTTGTAAGCTTCGATTAGTTGATTTTGTTGTTGGTAGAAATTTTTTTTATCGAAGATTTTGGATGATTTATCAACCTGAGGTTGATGAAGGCGCAAAAAGAGTTTCAAGATATATATTTAAAATAACCATTCGTTCGTTTCTATAGAGGAATACCTTAAATCGGTTAGATATAGGCATTTTGGCAAAATGTGCTTGCCTTTTTTCTTCTTCTACAGATCTTCTGTACTTTTGGTAAAATGAGATGCTCAACTCTTTGGTATTGATACCTATCACCTAAGAACTTTGCAGTAAATTTATGTTATTTGCTTTTCTAGAGCAGTTAGTAAGAGCATAGTTTCCAAAATATAAAATGTACCATTTCAAGCTTTTTTAGATGACTGCGATCAATGATTCCATAACAATTATTTTTTATATGGTCCGTCATTTGTTTTTGCACTAATAATGTAACAGTTTGACCAGCAATGCAATCTAATAAGTCCATGCTCAATAGTTTAATATTGGTTTCATTAATAATAATCAACAAGTTTTGACAGCAGCACCTCTCAGCAACATATTTACAACCATTACAGTTTATTGTTTTAAAACCCAAAAAACATGCTTCTATAAATAAATATATATATTACAATATATGTATAAATAAATTCATAATGTATTGTTTTAAATATTTTCTTACCATTGGTTTTACCTTCCGTATTACTGTTTATATTAAATGAAATGGTATAAAACGAATTTACAACTACGCTGAATTGTGATGGCATTTGTCCCAGCAGTGACTCACGAAAAACATCTTTTAATTTTTTTTGGCTTAGTTCCAAAGTAGTTATTTTAGAAAATATATTTTTCGAGTTATGTAATTGTTGGAAGGCATCATATAACAATTGATAACTCGCGTGCAATTCATTTACTGCCTCAACAAAGTTTTGGAACAATTGTTGATCGCGTTCATCTTTAGATGGTGGGATTTTTCCAATTATTTTAAAATGTAACCAAAATTTTGGTACAATCACATTACGAATCGTGTAGTGAAGTTCTAGCCAAGCAGCATCATACATTCTTTTCAAGACATCGAATTGATTAGAATGGATTCTCTTATTTTGACCTGCATGCAACACTTTTCTTTGCTGTTGAAAATTATAAATAGTTTTTTATTTACATGGATAACAAATTAACTAATAACTTACACTAATCGCTTTAAATAAATTGGTAATACTATTTAATATATCGGCAATTTCACTCATTTTAATATTTAAAACAAAATTTTAACTAGCGGCAATCACTGACGGGGGATTTGTTTACATACATATGTCAAAGCAAAGTGCATTGAAGTAACATCGTTGTTAAAAGCAATATGAAAAATGAACATGTTTCGCCTTTTAAGTTTCATAACTTAAATATTTGTAATTTTTATTATTTTATGCAAAAACATTTATTAATTAATATCAAATATTACTTTGAAAATTTTATATTTAAATATTATATAAACATATTAATTTGTTACAATCATTAGCTGAAGAAAAGTACGTTCAATTTGGAAAAAGTACGCTTATTGTAATAAGCTCCGTTTAATTTTAATTTACATTTAATATCATATATTGTAATAAAAACAATTTAATGTATTTATTGTATTACATTTAATGAATTTAATGCCATTTATTGTAATAGACATAGTTAAATACAATAAAACCATTAACTGTAACAATATAACATTTACTGTAATAAATCGCATTTATTGTAATAAATCACATTTATTGTAATAAAAACTATTTTAGTATTAAAAAAAAAAATTTATTGTGTTAAATCGCACTTATTGTAATAAATAGTATTTATACTAAAAAGTGACATTCATTGTAATAAACGGCATTAATTGCAATGAATGTAATTTATTGTAATAAATGGCAGTTATTGCAATGAATATAATTTATTGAAATTAATGCAATTTATTGTAATAAATGTTTCCCTATTTATGAAGTATCTCATTTAGTTCACCTTCTTGTGAATAGTGAAGCTCTAACAAAATAATTGTACTCAATACGTTGTTGATTAAATTATAAATAATTAAATTTTAATACATAATGGTATTTTTTAAATACTTTAACTTCGCACGTTAACAAATACTTTTAGATCTTTAGCAATTTTTTTTGTTGTCCATATTGTTATACTAAACATTTATACAATTTTATTCTTAAAGTAAAAGTTGCAGCGCTTAAAGAGTTTATCGCCTACATTACTAATATGTAGTTTTCTGTTATGAAATTATGAAACTCTCATTGAATTAATCATTACCGTTTTTATACTTATTATGTAGGTATAAGGGTTATGTATCCAGTAACTGTTATTAAATAAATATTGTATGAAATCGAATATATAAATATTTTAATTTATATTATAGAATTTTTTTAAAATTAATATATCCATTATAACGGAAATTTAAAGTTTGTAACAAATTTAAAAATAATTCGCTGCATAGTTTTATAACATAAGGTTGTCAGATAATATAGTCCAGCTGAATGAGAACAATAGACTGTTAAGAGACATGTTATGCAGACATGTTGTGTTAAAAAATGTTACAACTGTAGTTTAGTGCACATAAAACTTTCAGAACGTCTAGCAAAGCATATTGTCAATAAAATTAAATAATAATTATTATATTAAAAATATTATACCGATGATTTTAATTTATTTACTTAAAACGTTGAATGTTAAACTATTGATAACATGGATTAAAAACATTGATAATTTTTCAAGTTAATTTAATTTTTAAAGTTAATATAAAAACTAAATTAATTGTTGTAAATTCAGTGCGAAATTATTTAATTGCTGTGCGTAATTTATCTAAAAATT